ACATGCGAGCAGGATTTCCAAGTTCCGTTTGCCCACCCACCTTGCACCCAACTGTGCCCACTTGCCACGCTGATGCCGATGCACGTTGGACCAGATTGCGACTACTGCAGAACTAGCATATAGCATACCCCGCTTGTAAGGTAATCGGCAGGGATTTTAATTGAGGTGAGGTGAGTGCATTCGGGATGTCTGGGACCTGATCCCCGGTCGCGATAGGTACCTGGGGACCGAGCGCCGTTCACGCAATACTCGGACTGTTGATACTGCGATTATCAACATTGGGCGTTGCGCACGCTAGACCGGCTGGCTATTCCGTGTAAGCGTTGGGGTGGCAAGGCTAAAGCCATCACTTATCTTAACAGGAAGCTGAGTTGGTTGTGCAGACTGAAATCCTTGCTCTATGTCGTACAGGTCGGCTTCTACTGTGTAGAGGTGAGACGTGAGACAACTTGGAAGACAAGACGATGCATCAGTACCGGTGATCGGGTCCCAAGGCGGTATGGTACATTTGTTAATGCTTGCTGTATGCAGCCCGAGTTTGTTTTGTCCTGTCTTGTCCTGTCCGAGTCGTGCCGATTACGATTGACCCAATCCCAAGACACATGTGAATCTGGTTGATATCGACACCGTGAACTATAAGAGACCACGCCAGGGAGGTGCATGAGAGGCGAGAGCCAAGTAGCAGGTAAGCATGCAGGCGAAGTTCCGGCATTTAGGTCAGGTACTGAGTTGGGGTTAGATCGGTCTAATTTCTCGCATAAGCAGCGAGAGAGATGCCCCTTTCTTGGTACCTAACGTTCGAGAAGGCTGCCAATCAGGTATCTTGACTGGAGAATTCCATGCGAGTAAGTGGTCATCTCTGTCTGCCTATGGGGAGTCACAGTCACACATAATAACCAGATGATTGACCGCATCTCCTGCCAAACACTGCCGAGGGGCAAGACATGGGACGTGGTGAGATGGAATACTAGTACCTTACCGTCGGTACAGTGTGATGTCAAAAGCGCTCATTGCAAACAGAACTTCAACCCCCTGAGACTACTGTACACTAAAAAGCATGGGATGAGACAAGGACTAACACTACGGCAAAGCTACTAGCCAAGGTATCGTAGCAATTCTGGAGTGTGACCGACGCGGGGCCGTGCAGTGCTCTCGGGGCAATTGTCAATATCTGCCTACCGAAAATGACCAATTGGAGATGAGTAAATGCAACGTCGACATGTTGTCAGTTTGAACGCTTCATATACTGCTCATTTCGCTAGCGTGATTCAAGTTGGTACGAGATCGTGTGAACAATGTTCTGGAGTGCAACCCGATTGCTTTTCTGACAGGGCCGGGAGCTTCTGGAGCAAGACCTGTAATTATCCCTGGCGGGGAGCCGGGTCTGGTCTGGAGCATCCCCTGTTAGCTCGCCCATTCACCCTGGAAAATCCATTAAACCCCTGCTCACCAGCCCACTGGGCGACTCCTTCGGCCTCCACCGTACCCTCGCCATGGCGTGCTGGGACCCGCCTATCACGGCCCAGCTGGGACAGGTCGGAAGGGCTGTGAGAGCACGCTAGGCTCCTTCTGGGCTTAATGAGTCAGGTGATTTCGCGGCAGTATCCCGTTTTCCCAGACGCGTGTACCGACGTCCATCGTCACCCCAAGCGTGTTTGCCTGAAAGATAAGTAGATCCGGGCGGCGCTGCGTGCGTCTCATTACTACGACGGTACAAGGCAACATTAACATTGTACGCACGCAGTGCCCAGCAGAGTTGCCTTCTTCGGCCATGGGTCGCCTACCACTAATACTATATAATGCGGCAGGCCCCCGAAAAATCTTCCCCTTCTATTTATCCAAACGGAAGGGGATTGATTCCATTGACAACAGGTAGGCCAAATCATCTCATTGTTGTATCGTGAACATCGCCGTGGTATTTTAATATTGTCTTTTACTCTTCACCTCATTTTTATTACAATTACTCGCATGACAACCTATCACTTTCAATCGAGTGCTATTATTGGACTCGATTTCTCGAACCTTCGAGTCAATAGGAGTCTGCGACCGGGGCATATTCCATCTTCACATTCTGACTACCCCCATCGGTCGGTCGGATCTTGAGGCATCGCCCGTGCACGCACTTATACGTTCACACACGCAACCAAGCACAACATCCTCGACTTCAAAATGTTCAGCAGCAGACGTTTCGATCCGCCTCCGAGCAAGAGCTTCTCCAAGGGCCATAAGTCAAGCAAATCCAATGCATCTTTCAGCAAAAGCCATGGCGTTTCCAAGAGTAAACACGACTCTCGTCGTCGGTTGACGACGTCCATGTCTCAACGCATGGATGTATCAATGTCATCGCCTGATAGGTATGTCTAATTCAATCACCCTCTCAATATCAATCTCCAGTCTCCAATTTACCCTATCATCATCTTATCATTCAACATCTAACATACGATGCACACACACAGCAATCTCACCTCTTCCATCGTAACCCTCGTCATCGGCCGCGACCAGCGCATCTTCGCAGCCCATGAAGATGTGCTCTCTGCATCCCCATGGTTCCAGCAGGCCCTCATGGACCAATACCACGACCTGCAGAGCGGCAGCGGCAAGCGCATCTACCTGCCCGACGACGAGCCCGAGATTTTCTCTTCTATCCTCGAGTACATGTACAAGGGCGACTACTACCCTCGCCTGGTCCACAACAAGCGCCGTAACTCGTGGGAGATCGAGCAGCTCGACGAGGAGCGGGGGTCGAACGAGGCCACCGTGTACCACCATGCTGTCGATGGCGATGTGCTGAAGGATACCGTCATCTATTGCACGGCGGATAAGTATGGCTTGGAGGAGCTGAAGAGGGTTGCGTTAAGGAAGCAGGGTCTTCGTGAGTTTTTCTTTTTGACTCTCATCCACTTTCCTTCCATTCTGTGCATCGCATACAGACACTTATATGTTCCGGTCGCAACAATTCATGATGAACCCTTGCTGACTGATTGTGTTATTGGCAATGAACAGAATCCGGCATCCAATGCAGCACCATCCTGGCGTCGGCCCGCTACGCCTACGCCAACACGCCTGACACAGACTCCAAGCTGCGCGCACACTACCTGGCGCTCATCATCCGCAGCCGCAGCACCTTCAAGCGCTCGGGGACCATGCAGCTGGAGATGTATAACGGCGGGTCGCAGCTGTTCTTCGACCTCTTCGTTGCACTGTGCAATCATGTCGACGACATCTCGTCGAGTGCTTCGTAAGTGTCTCTCCACCCTCTCTATCCCTTCATGCCCTCATCCCACCATCTTCCCGCCTTAGCTTTATCTCCATCATCAAGTGTGATTCCCCCTCGTCCGATGCATTGTGATGTCTTGTTTGACCGTTTCGCTAACATGGTATGCCAGCAACACCCCGCGAAGCAACCGTCACTTCTTCTAGTGGCGACTTAGTAGATCTTTTCATTTGTCGCGTGATGCCTCTCTTTTGTCACATTGCGTTTTCGGTTTCGGTTTCTCATATCCCCACTCGTGGGAGAAAACCGTTACCTCAGCACCCACTTTCTGCCTGCCTGCACTATACCCAGGCAGCGAACCTAATGATCAACGTTATGCTTTCTTGGTGCGCACTTCATATCTATTTCTATTCTACTTCTTCGGGGATGGGCTTGCTTGCTTTTCATAAACACTTATTAGGTTTGGGCTTGGGCACGGGCATGGACGCCCTGATGCCAGTACACAATGTCGGCGCTTGGCGTTTCATTCATTTTACGAGGATGGGATGGGATGGGCTTTGTTTTCTTTATCTTTTCTCGTCTTCACTTCATTTCCACCCTGTATCATTATCATTATCATACTTATGAAGCACCGAGGCCAGGTCATGCCAAGCAAAGGCAGGCAGGCACACAGAGATGGGACAACCATACCCCACTGTCGCGGGTCTGCCGGTTGTTGTTTCTCCGTTTGCCTATTATTTATTATCTATTCTCTTGTCGCGTTTGTTCTTGTGTTTGTTCTCTGGGCGATGTTTCTTCTGCCTGCATGATACCTCCGAGAAAATCAAAAAGAGCAAGGTCGGATTGAGTTGGGCCGGCGCAGGGGAAGACTGCGCAGACCTTTGACGCGAGGATATGGGAAGTCTACCAAACTAGAGGAAAATTGGAGGACGTGAGATCTTACCTTACTCTTACTCTTGCTGTCTAGCAATCAAATCAAATCATTAATGCCAGCTGGGTTTATGTTGTTGGTCTGCTTGCTGCTTTATTATGTCAACTGGTCTGACATGGGTTTATCGGGACATGTTTGTAGCATTACACTTCTAGACTATCGTTCATCGCAATGACCAAGGGTTCACATGCTTGCTTCTTTATTCTGACATCATTGTGAAAGGGTGGGAGAATACGATGGACGGATGAAGAAGGGGTGCACTGTCTGTAGTATGTGCTGCACCAGGTTCGGTACCTAATGCAGGTGCGCAGGCAGCCCCCAGTGAAAACGTTAAAGAATAAAACACATATTTCTCCTACATTCTACTTACTTGATCTTGGCTGGGGGGTTGGAATGACACAGCCCTGAGGGAAAGGTTATAGGTGTGCTTGAGGGCATGAAGACGAAGCATAAGTATTTGATTGATGCATGCTGATGATATATTGGATCATTTTGTGCTTTTCAATACGCCTTGTGATTGATCTCTCCCCCGTAATGCTTGTCTCTATTTCCAAAGCCAACCTTGTTTGAATACCTAATACATTTCGCCTTATTTGGTGCCGTGTTTCTTGATCCCAGAAGAGGTACTTGAAACAAGCACTTTGTGATCCAACTGTGCTAAAGCCTTTCCACTGTGCCCTGCTTGGTTAATCAGCTGTCAGTATTTGTGAACGGTTCAAAGGATGTTGAATCAGCTGTCATAGTGAGTGGATTAAACAGATTTGGTGTCTGTACGATATATTGGAATGTATGGGAGACATGTTCATCCTACAGACAAAGGTGGTGTTGCACTTGTTCTGCCACCTAGCCATACAGGGCTTAATGGTCTAGTGGTATGATTCTCGCTTTGGGTTTACTTTGACACATCTGCGAGAGGCCCCGGGTTCGAATCCCGGTTGAGCCCCAGTTTTTGCCTTTGGTCTGTCATCACCTAGGTAGCTCAACTTACCATCACACATCTCTTCTACTCGCTTTCTTGTGCTGACTTTTTATTCGACTTTTAGATGTACTGATCAGATGTTGATCTCTCTCTTATCTTCTACTACTAGATATGATGTGACACGGAACAGAAGGGCTTCCCAGATGTATGTGTGTTAGGAAGGCTCAGAGGCTCTGAAGCTCCAAGGATGACGCGAAAAGTGGCCGGTAGTTGCAGTCTGACTCACGACACCTGCATGCATGCATGAAGGCGATGTCTATCTGTGTTGGGGTGGGGTGATGTGAGTCATCGCTGTGTAAATAAGGCTGCGCTATCGCCCTGTTTTTGCTTCCATTTCTCCATTTGGGACGACTGACTACCGCCATGAGCGTATTACCTAAAATTCTAGATTCTGAAATACAGAATCTAAAGCGGCGAGTGAAGCTGCAATGTAGTACGCCTCATTAAACACCTATTTGCTCGCCCCTTGAAGGAAGCTACTTGATGAAACCTCGTGGCTCCCCAGAGAGGGGTACTTAGGAAGACCAGCTCAATCAGTTTCGACGCCCTGGCTAAAGATAACATCGGGCGCTCGGTGTTCTTCCTTGCCTCTAGTTATGAGCTATTCTGCGACGTCGTGTCCTATGCTTCGGCGCATGTTTGCTCAAAGTGACATCTGCTCATACCCCGGTTCCGGGGAAGGCGCCAGACTTGCTTAGAACGACAGTACCGCGCTCGTGGGCGATGTAGCCTTTCATCAGATTCTAGACTACGATGTCAGTATTGTCTTTGAGGATCATGTGTTGAGGCCATGTAGTCCGCAAAGTGGCAGGCTACCAACGTAGAGTAGAGCAACCTCCATGCAAGGATTGACTGAATGTGATTGGCCTGGTAGATGTAGGTTCACGCACCTTGTAGATCATGTTCGCCATGATGCACTCAACCTCGTCTGTGTCCATGATCTCTCCTCCGCTCATCTGTATGGCTGCTGTGAACTCGGTGATAGGGATCCTCGTCCTGCGCATAGGCGCCGCTCCCTCCTTGGCTTCTTCAAATCCTCCCGCTATGAAGACCTTGCGTAGGAGATTGCGCAGTACAATGTCGCGCCCACGTTCCAACGTCAGGTATACGCGGCGTTTTATGAATTCGTCCTCGCCATCGCGCATAGCGATGTCGAATGCCTTTAGGTCTGCTGTCTTAATTGCACGAGCTAATGGGGCGAATAGCTTCTCTAAGCGGGGAAACCGCTCGAGCAGCTGTGGGCTGGGTAATGTGTGAGTTGTTAATAGGTGACATGGGACGAGATAAGTCAGAATTAGCCTGTTGAATGGTTAGGAGGGTTACATCGAACAGGTGTGTTGAGAAACGTACTCGAGGTTTCGTATCGAGCTCTTGTGGCACATCAGCCATGCCATCTGGAGATGTTTTTCAGCCTGCAACCTGGTCAGTCATTGCCGATCTAGATAAGAGATAGATGCGAAGACCGCGAACCTCGACGTAGTTTTCCTCTAAAAACGCCAAGACACCTTCATAGTACTTGAAGGTGACCTGCTGCGACTTGGGGAAGTTGTCGATGGAGGGTATATCAGATCGGCCGGCCGAGATGACCTTCAAGATGTTCTTCGAGAGCGGTTCTGAATGCAGCTTGAAATAGGTTTTGAACAGGAGGTTCACAGCGTAGTAGACACCCCATTTACGGGACTCTTCCAGCGGTGCCCTAATTCGTATTAGCAGAAGGCAGCGATGGGGTTGATGAAAGGGTAGAGATTCACCTGTCCGAAGCGCAAACCTGGAATATCCGGTTCAGATGCCGCGCACAGTCTTCAAGACTCTTGTGCTCCTCTGCCTGGGGATCGAAGTCGTCTTGTAAGTCGTCGACGGCCGTCTGTTCATTACTTAGAGCTCTCTCGGCATCGGCCCGCATTGCATACAATCTCAGGTACTTGCCAGTGACGTAGAGACACGGGATGGTCCAGTTCTCGAAGTCATGGTTGGTGTAGCCTCGGACGACGAGTAGTGTGACTTCCTTCCATGCATCATATACCCTTGACCATGAGCCCTAGACTCAGTCAGCTGAAGTTCCTAAACTCAACAACAAGAAAGACAGCGGAACTACACGGAGACTCAATGTAGCCGATGGCAATTGAGAGCAGGCTCACCTTGGCATCACCCCGCAAGTCTTCAACGGCCAATATCTCTCCTACGGCCTTCCAGTAGGCATTGTATATGGCAAACCAGCCATTCATCTCATCCTTGGACAGTCGGATACTGAAACGAGCCTGGTCTTGGTTGAAAAGGAAGTTGAGATCGGATGTCGTCGATCGGGCATCTCCTCGTCCCCAAAGTGCTTGTAACTTTGCTGCATGTGTTGGGAGCTCAGAATTCAAGGTCTCGGCCAGCTGTTCACCGTTCGTAGCAGCATATGCCACCCGAAACTGGCGAATCAGGCCATCCATGGCCGGGCTTGGGAATGTTTTGTTGACAGCAATGTGGACGTCGGGTATAGATATTTAGCCTGAGACCAACAAAGGCTGATGCGCAGGTAACATAAGTCACATGAAGTTTCGTCTCATGTCGTTGTTGTCAACGTTGTCGAGTGTCTAAAGAACGACATGAGAATCTCATCATCACCGCCAGCCAATGTGAGATGTGATTGTCTAGGGGTGCTTTCTTTGAAGTCCACCAAGCTTGATTGGCTCAATTCCACGTCTCTTCAGGTATCTAAACAGGCCTGGCTGGGTCTTGACTTAGGTAGAGCAGGGTGCATTCTGAGCTGAGGCTTTGCTGCGCACGGGCCAATCAATCACTCTCTCACCACCCCGCTGCCAGCACCTTTGGAGTTGATCGGGTGCCCCACCATGATGCAGCCTGACCGACATAATCTCAGCCACAAGCCCCAGCCACTACCGCTATCTGCTCGTGACTGGGACCCGCCTTTTCAGCACGGCCACACCGCTTTCTACCACTCAGCTTGCTAGGGCGGGAAACCCTTAGCACAGAATATTCGCAAAAAGTTCTCGTAGCCGAAGACGTGCCCCAAAGCAGCCTCCACTTCACGAAGCCTGTGTGCATCTGCCCTCCATACTAACCTCCACGACAACAGGACCGGATTCAAGTCACAGTAAGTTGCCATCGCTGAATTGCGCACTCTCTCTCAATTGCTGACAGCTTTGTTCTCCAGATGGGTAAGCGATTTCTTCTGTTTTTGTTCGAGCATGCAGGTGCCGGCGCTCTGGGACTCGAGAATGGACGACGGCCACGACGACAAAAGTACAACACAACATGGACACTCGCAACACCGCGATGATGACACCTTTTGATAAGCATTCCATCTGTATGGGCGACAAGATGCTACCGACTGAACCGATAAGAGGAAGTCTTGAAAGATTGGTGGCTGGGATTGGGTATCGCCTCGAACGACTCTCGCCAGTCTGCCAAGCACCATCACGAGTACGAGTGTCTTGATTGAAAAATTTTGCCTGCACGCCAGGCCCCGACGCAACACCACCTCCGACAGCCATCTCGAACCGCTCCATTCTCGATTCCAGTGAACGCCTGGAACTGCTTGTCACGATCACTAGCCCACCACGACAATTACTAACGAGATGCTCCCAGGTCGCCTTCAGGAATACCAGGTCATCGGGCGCCACCTGCCCAGCGAGGCCAACCCCACCCCCAAGCTGTACCGCATGCGCATCTTCGCCCCCAATGAGGTCGTCGCCAAGTCCCGCTTCTGGTACTTCTTGATGAAGCTGAAGAAGGTCAAGAAGGCCAACGGTGAGATTGTCAGCTTGAACAAGGTACGCCAATCCCACCATCACTCTCTCTCACCAGATTGGGAGACAATGTTCGAACACACCAAAAGAACGGCAGACTGATTGTTTGGGGAAAATTAGATCGCCGAGAAGAACCCTCTTCGCGTCAAGAACTTCGGTATCTGGATCCGATACGACTCCCGCTCCGGCACCCACAACATGTACAAGGAGTACCGTGAGCTCTCGCGGACAGACGCCGTCGAGGCCCTCTACTCCGACATGGCTGCCCGCCACCGATCCCGCTTCAGGTCGATCCACGTACGCATTACATTCCCTTCTCCCGCTTTCGCCACGAGGTGCAGCAAAGCGACGCAACTAGCAGCTAACATACAACCCTAGATCCTCCGCGTCGTTGAGATCGAGAAGTCCGAGGACATCAAGCGTCCCTACATCAAGCAGCTCGTCGAGAAGAACCTCTCTTTCCCTCTCCCCCACCGTATCCCCCGCATCAGCAACAAGAAGATCTTCAGCGCCACCCGCCCGTCCACCTTCGCATAAATTGGTGGGAGTTTTTGTGGGTCGAGTGTGTGTTGTGTGTGATTGTGATTGGGGAAAGGTTGACAAAGTTTATGGGAAATGGTTCTTTTTACCCGGTGTTCAACAGGAATTGCGGAAAAACAATCTTCATGACAACCCCAATCAGCATGAGAGCTCTCAAAAAGATAGAGCACAAATGAATGAATGAAACCGAACAAAAAAACTAAACCACCTTGTCCGAAGACACATGACTACGTGAATGATGAATTATGATGAGGAACAGTAATCAATAGTACTCATACTTGATCTGGACCGAATAGTTCAATTGATGTTCAATTTATGGATATAAGTACTGAGTTTGCTCAGAGTTGAGTTGTTCGCTGCTCTGCTACTATATAGAGTACATGATTGGGGTATCTTGTCCTTGACAGCCCAGCCCACCTTGGTTGGGCCCGGACGATAGGTAGGACCTGAAAGTCTAATAATCTACATATATGCATAACCAAATCCCAATTCCCAGTTCAACCAACATCCCAATACGTTTGTCTCGTAAATTCAAAATGTAAACCCCACTACGCCCTCCGTTTGCCAATCCACACCCACTAAGGTTCGCTCCCACCAGAGCCAGACTTGGGCGTCGTGTCCGCGTACGTGTCCAGCACGAACTCGTCCCACGTGCTCCAGTCCATCATG